CTTGCTGTAGCTGCTTAAAAACGCACCCTCTAGCTCATTTCACTGAGCTAGATCCGAATTTCTTGCCAACTGGCAAAGTACAGTTACAGAAAAACACAGATGCACATATAGATACACACAGACATAATGTCACAAGGCAACTTAATCCTCAGTTACACAGTTTCCAAAAGCCAGTGATATATTTTGGACATGCACTTTGTCATTAAAGCAATAACTGACTCCCCAGACATTTGTTTAAATTCAGATTGAGGCTGAAACTGTTTGAAATTGAAAGATGCACAAGAGGTGGGGTAGAAAAATTTGGCAATTATGCAAAACTAGGAAAGGTGACCAACCAAGGAAATAGTAATATTAAGCCTATTTAAATTCATGTGACAACAATATCAGAGGTCCAATTTAACAGCTCATTTCCAATGTAGAGAAAATTACCTTGGAAATGAGATCTGGTACTGCTCAGCTCCTAGCAGCCCTTAGATATTCAGATGTGGCTGTTAGCATATATATGATCAGTTTATATCTTGGTCACAGGTCAGTTTAAGCACTTACTGAAGACACCAGAAACACAGCTTACAGGGTATTGGCCACAACTTCCCTTACCCTGCACTGCAGGGCATCTTCCCAAATGGCATCAAAGGTTTTCAAGGCAGACGTGTTTTCTTCTATCTGTTTAGAAACAGTCCTCAAAAATGCAGAATCACAGCATAACAGGGCAAAACCTGACTGTTGGGGAGCCTGACCACCTTCCCAGTTTGCTCTGAGGGTGAACAGATGTGAGAGTTCAGGTTTTTGAGGTGTTTTAGTATGCTAAATAAAAAAATGCTGTCCCTGATGCTCTCAGGTATTTGGGGGTTCTCAAAACTTCACAGGAGGAAGGAATGTGTGTGACAAGCTGTGCATTACAGACACCGACTGCACTTTTGGGGACAATCTGCTGCCAGATCAGCAGCCATATGCTGTGCTGGGAACACCTAAAACCTTCCTGAGCAGCTGGGCTCTGGGCATGAGAAAGAGAAGGCACCTCTTGGGATACTCTCTTGAGCCAAGCAGCTCATTCCATATTCACACTGTAGTTTTCTCCTACTCCCAGCAACTCCAGGAAATCTGGTTTCTTGTGTGACAGGTCTTGTTTCAGTGTGCTTAAAATTCACAAAATAAAGCCTCCTGTACATTTTCAGGCTTGTGCCTCTTTACAGTAGATGGTTCCAGCAGAAAAAATAGTTCTGATGATATAAATTCCATTTAGCAGTATTTAACTGCTACAGTTTTATGGTGTGAGTCCTAATGGCAGCATCAGTTCCAGCATCGGAGAAGGAATTTCATTGTGTTTATATTTCATTATGTTTTGGGGAAAGAGAAAATTCATTGTTCACATGGTGGACCTAGAACAGCTGCTTTAATTATACCAGTCTAATGAAAGCAGAAACTGCAGAAAAAAGGAATCACTGTCACATCAGTTTCAGGCTGGTACAAGCTGAATTAGAATTATTCTCCTCTGAGGAAAGATCTCTGCTGCATTGCCACTTCTCAGACAGCCATGTTGGGAGTAAAGCTCTTTAAAAGACTTTTGAAATTTTTGCTTTCTAAGAAAGATCTAGTTCTCTGGCACTTTTTAATACCAGTTGCAGTAGTTTCATTTGACTGAGGCAACCTTGCAAAGTCAGAGTTTATTTCTAACATACAAATGCTTCTCTTTCCACTAGGTGCATTCAATGGATTTTGATGACACCTGGCATCCAGCCACACATCCATCTGGGGCTGTGCTCCCTGCATTGATTGCACTCTCAGAAGCCTTCCCTCAGAAGAAAAACATCTCAGGTCTTGATCTGCTCTTAGCTTTCAATGTGGGAATCGAAGTGCAAGGCAGGTTGCTGCACTTCTCCAGAGAAGCCAGGAATATCCCAAGAAGGTACATAGAAATGGTTAAAGTAGAAAATGGAGTGGAGGTGTTTTTTATCAGTGCTAATATACATAATTAAATGTCAGTTAATATACAGGTGGCACAGTTATTCATATTTCCTAAGCTGTTTGTTGGAAATTTTGGGAAGGCTCATCTTACACATAAATACATTTGATTCCTAACTCTGTAGCTAATAGATTTTTTTTTTAAAGCATTGATTAATTCAGAATGAGGCAATGATCTCCCTAGTTTGAATTTTTATAGATTTAGAATAATATATAAATTTAAATAATAATAAATATAACTTTATATTTGACTATAAATTTGCTTTAAACTATGAGCAGCACTAATGTTTCCATCGCTTTCTGGGAAGGACTTAATGTAAGCAGCACTATTCCAGTTTTACTTTTTCCTGGGGAAATGTGATAACTCTCAGTTAGGCCCACATGTGAATGCTGAATGTATGTTTCTTTATGGTCCAATCCATTTTCCATGGCAATGAATGAAATGCTTTTGTAGATAGTGAATTTGGGTGAGTTTTTGAGACCTGGAAATGAAGATACTTTTGTTTTTCAGGTTTCACCCTCCGGCTGTGGTTGGTACGATGGGGAGCGCAGCAGCTTGTGCTAAACTGCTAGCTCTTGACCAGCTGGAATGTAAAAATGCCTTGGCTATTGCTGCCTCCTATGCAGGTGCCCCACTGGCTAATGCAGCAACCCAAATAAAACCCCTCCATATTGGGAATGCTGCCAAGAATGGACTGGAAGCAGCTTGCTTAGCTTTACAGGGCCTTCAAGGAAACAAACAGATCTTGGACATGGAGTCAGGGATGGGTGCCTTCTATACAGATTACAACCCACAGACTCTGCCAACCTTGCAGTCCTACCCATGGCTCTTGGACCAGCAAGATGTGGCCATCAAACGCTTTCCTGCTCATCTCGCAACACACTGGGTGGCTGATGCAGCATCTTCTGTCAGGAGGAAGCTCGTGGAGAGCAGTGAGAGCCTGCTCCCCATTGATAAAATCGAGAAAGTCATTCTCAAAGTCCCTGAGGTCAAATACGTGAACAGACCCAGCCCGGCCTCAGAGCACGAAGCACGACACTCCTTCCAGTTTGTTGCGTGCTCGGCTTTGCTGGATGGCAGCATGTCAGTCCAGTCCTTCAGCAGTGAGAACATTCAGCGGCCGGCCTTGAGAGAGCTCCTCTGCAAAACACAGCTGGAGCACCCCCCTGACAACACACCCAGCTTTGACAGCCTGTACTGCCAAGTGAGCGTCACGCTTCGGGGCGGCAGCACCATCAGCGACCGCTGCACTACCTTCTACGGGCACTGGAGGAAACCTCTGGAAAAGGAAGACTTGGAGAAAAAGTTTCAATCCAATGTGCTCAACATCCTGCCCACAGAAGCCATGGAAGGCATTATAGAGACTGTGTACAACCTGGAAAAAGTAGAGGACTGTTCTGTATTAAGTACATTTCTATCAGGACAGTCTGCTAGAGCACTTCCAGAGAAGCTGCGCTTCCTTTGAGTGTTCCAGCCAACAGCTACGTGCTCTTCACAAAGTCAATGCAAAATCCAGGACAAACTCTTGCTTAGTGACTCAAGCACTTTTAAATAAGACTCCTGTAACACAAGAACTATATTCAGTTCAATGCTGTGGGTTTTGATTAGGTAAATAATTTGGTGTTTACGTGCCCAGCTTAGCCAGGCTAAACAGAAGATCCTCTGTTGGCACAGCTGACCCCAGCTATCTTTGTACCTCTAGAGGCAGAGCACTCACTGCTTGCTCACAGCACAAAAATCTCCCTGCTCCTCTGCCAAAAATCCGTGTTCTGCTTCTCCTAAATAACTCCAACAGGAAATCCAAACTCTGGAAGAGTAGGGAAGTCCTGTGTCTGTGAAAATCATCATGGTTAGAAGTACAGAGAATGAAAACCTTTTCATAATTATTTCTGTAGATTTATCTCTACAAGCTCCTTGAAGAGGGAATCTGTTATGGCTGAGCGTTGACATTTGTGCTAAAATAAACCCAGCAGATGTAGGGAGGGGTAGCACTCCCTACTCTGCAGCATGTCATGTGTCACTGTAGCCATTGCTCTGGCACTGAGGCAGCAAAGGCCTGGGCCCAGCCTGATCACAGGAGTGCTGAGCACGAGGGACAGTGCCACACTCCTCACCATAAAGGCATTCTTGCCCAGTTCCACCTGCTGGCTGCTCTGTGGTACAGGTCTGTTCCTGTTTCATTCCTGCCCCAGTCACACGAGACACTGAGCAGGTGATGTCAGGTAGGTTACTTGAGGCCCAGCAGAGTGTGGGCTGCGCCACACTGGGCAGGAGTGACAGACCTGTGAGCACCAGAGCACTTCTTACCAGAGACAACTCAGTGTCCACAGTGAACCCAGACCATGAATTCCGGGAATTTTTTGTTCCTCCAGGAGTACAAAGCCTTGCCAGACTGAGCGTCTAAGAGAAGCTGCCAACCCTTTCTTCACATTTAGAAGATCAAAGCATGGTTTCTAATACATATAAAATTGTCTTCCTCAGGACAATAAAAAATGTATGCAAGAAAAAAAACTTAAAAATAAATCTCATTAATTTTACTAAATAAATCGGAAATTACTTCATTTATTGGTGCAAAACTTGTGTATTTTGCACATGCAATGCATTCATTTGTGCTGCATCTTGGTTTATAAAGTTGGTTTACCTAGGGGCTCTGCAAAAATTTTGGAAGTCCATCAGTAATACTTGCTTAAAGACACTTGCAAGGGGAAAAAAGAACCCAAATAACCACATTCTTTTATTATTCTCCTCTGATTAGAAATCAGAATTTAATTATTCACCTATACTTATGGTAAACAGACTCATTTACAGCTACTTCACTTGTAATTGCAGCTGGGTACATTGCAATTGCTATTGCAGCTGAATACATTTGGATTCATTTAAAAAAAAAACACAAAACAAAAACAAAGGAACTCCTCCCATCACCTTCAATATACGGTTTCTATTTTAAAAGACAAATAAATAGGTTAAATTCAGCAGTAACCATCTGATGTATTAAACATTAAAAAACACCCCACCACACCAAACAAACCAGGAACTGTGAAGTTTAGCAGTTGCATTATTTTATTAACTCAGTCTAAGGAAGCTAAATGCTTATGCTTAGCTACACTGATTTCCTTGGAGAAGTCTGTACACTCCTAGTCAGGCAAGCTTCAGGACTTCTTGTACCATTGTTCCAATTCCGTCAAAGATTTCATGCAGAGGAGCTTTGCACATGAAAGCACAGGTAGTAACTATTTTATTGGCTTTATCCACATGGGATTCATTTACATTTTTGCAAATGTGCTTACATCCAAGCTCTGCTATAGCAGATGCCGTTTCAGCATCAGGAAATCTGTAAATAAAAAGACTTTAATTAACATAAAGGAATGATACAGCCATAAAATTCTGCACACATAACTTGAATGAGAGAACTACAATAATATCTACGGGAGTCTTTAACTGATGATAAGGGAGTTAGAGGCTGCTACTATCAGATATTCCTATCTCCTATGGACATATCAAGTGATCTAATACCTTTGAAAACAAGGTCTGAAATATGGAGACACAATATGTCAGAAGGTACAATACTTTTTAATAATCTTTCCATAAGTTTGGAAGATGATACCAAGTGCAGCCATAACTGATCTTCAAAAGGTTGAGAGAAGCCAGCTGAACTTGCAAACTTTTCCAACACCTCCATGCAAGGTGTTCCTCTGGGATCTCCAGAGATTTTGATATTTTTTTTCCCCCTTCTGGTAAGGAAGAAACAAATGCAATCTGTTCTGAACAGAATCTCCCACTATGGCTGCTGATAAATTTAATTCAGAAGTTTTATTTGGAGTTGACAGTTCTTGAAGCAGTACTGCTTCAAGCAGTTTCTGCCAGGCCCTGTTCTCATCTCCCTCCCCTAAAGTGGCCCCAAACCACTACCACCAGAAAAACTTTATTAAAAATCACTGATTTAGCAGTTGGACTCACCCATCCTAGAGGACTTTTCCAACCTAAACAATTCAATGGTATCTCAGATCAGTGTATACCTGCTTGTAGCACCACAAGTCACTTGACCTCATGGATTCACTCTGTCTGCCCTGAGAGTTCTGTGCCTACTACTATTATTCTATACTATTATACTGTGACACTGTGACTGAAAACTGTCACTAATTTTTCTTAAAAGTAACTAAAGAAACTTTTGCTCAGAAGCCTATCAATTTCCTAATCTTAATTCCAATGTAAATCATCTCCATCCATTTCCTTCTTACCTTCCATCTATGTTTTTATCCTGACCAACCGTAACCTCACAGCCAGGAAAGACTTTGGCTGCCAGAACTGGTGATATGCAGCACAAACCAATGGGCTTTTTAGCACTGTGGAAGGCCTGGAGTGTGGAGCTCACGTGCTCATTGACAGTACAGTTCTTGCCATCTACAGCCCAGGAACACAGATTCTTTGCTACACCAAAACCACCTAAGAAAAAAACAAACCAAAACCAAAAAGCTCAAATATAAGGCACTGCTAAAAGCTATTAAATTTGATAATAGCACACACCAAACAGAAGCTCTTTTTTACAACATAATCTTGGTATCAGTGGGACTGTTAAGTAACTGTACTGAAAGCCTTACAATGTCACTGTAACCTGTAAACAATGGGTTTACAATGTTAAAAGTTTAACTCTGCACTTTGTTATACCACGTAGGTCATATACAGGCCAGAAAGCTTAACCTTGTTTCAAAAAGTAACAACTAGACAAAGAGGAAACCTCACATTCTCCTGCACTCAATAAAGAAGAGGCACCAGAACACCACTACTAGTTAAAAGCACCAGTATGGAAGTAATGCAAACAGTGATTTGACCCTCTGTAGTAATTAACTCTCAAGTTTTATTTTTATGCTTAAGCAATTATAGAAGAGCTTTTCTTCTTCCCTAGAACTACTTTTCAACTTAAAAAAAGCCATTAACACAATAAAAAAACCATTAGGGATTTTACATAAAATAGACATTATAACATATGGTATTCTAAGACAAAAAAACTTGTAAATGATAACATAATTTCCTATTAAAAATAGTGCTGATTTGCCTTTCTATAAATTAGTTTAAACAATCCTTTAGATACATTTAATCATCATTTAATTGCATAAGCAGATTGTATTTTACAGCTCCTTTGTCTGCTGGATTTATAACCATCAGAATACTCAAAGTAAGGTTATTCCACATGGAATGTGCACAGCATCAACTTTTCTCCAATAAGCATAAGGAAATTTCCAGAAGTACTTGGGCAGACATCAAGAAGCTTTGCATTTTTAATATTTTTCCCTTCCCGGTTTGCTCACTTTCAAGTGTTATCTGAAATCTCTGAGGTAAGATTTTAATTTTCAAACTAAATAGGGTTTACGTCCCTCTAACAGTTATTACAGCAATCCCCCCGGGCCTGGGTTACAACAGCATGAAATTAATGTGGAAAACATCTGTGAGCCTCTACTCATTCCTGATCAGCCCTGACATCAACTATTCACAGTGCAGGCAGAATTGTTTCTCTGCGTTATACACACGCTCCCTCTGCTGGCCTTACAGCAGTGTGAAAACTTCAAAATTAACAGGCCCAATCATGAAGGCAGTATTTAACAGCACTATGAATATTCTGGAAACAGATCTTCAGCAAGTCATGATTTCCTCATGATGCTCCAGCTTCTTCATTTCTAAAAATGATTACAATTACCTCTGTCTGGAATGAAATTTTGTGGTCTCTAAATGAAAAATTATCCATAAACATGTTTAGTACAACTCGATCAGCAGCTGAGTGGATACATAATTAAAACAGAATGTACATCCATCTGACATGGAATATCATCTGCCAACATTTTCAGAGGCCCTGAAATTAAGGCATTGCCATGTAACTGAGTTCTGACCCTATTTTTGTACTCTAGTCAGGGTTCTTGTCAATACATAAGTAGTGAAGTTTTCACAATATTCAGTAAGAAGAAATGGTGGGATGCATAACTTAATACTAAGAGAACACTCTGGCATTTTAACTTAAGTGAACTATGCATCAATAAATATGCTGAGTTAAAAAATCACAATTTTCTTTTGAAAGATGAGCTCAGCTGGTCAGAGCATGGTGCTAATAACACCAAGGTTGTGGGCTCAACCCCTGTGTGGGCCATTCACTTAAGAGTTGGACTCAATGATCTTTGTGGGCCTTTCAACAAAGAGTATTTTGTGATACCTACCAGGGAAAATGACAGCATCAAATTCACTAGCTTTCAGTTCAGCCAAATCCTGAATGTTTCCTCTTGCCAACCTGGCACTTTCAACTAACACATTTCTCTTCTCTTCTGCTGGACTTCCTTTTAGGTGATTGACTACATCCCTTTGCTCAATATTGGGGGCAAATATCTTCACCTAGGAAGAGAGATGAAGCAATTTTGTGAATGCAAACAAAACTCATACGTATTTGTCACAATAAAGATCATTTAATGAAAACAGATTTTGTCCCTGAAGCCTTTTATCTAAGTCAAGAAAATTCCACACAATGAATCTAGCACATTAAATATCTAAAGCAACATATGATATATTAGGATGGGTAAACACAGGCATTATTCCCATCCTATTACTGCAGCATTTTGACAGGAGAGTATTCTTATGCCAACATCAAGCTTACTGATTTTGCCAAGGCAGATAAGCCCAAGGACAAACAAGACACCACAATTTATACCAGCAGCCCAACTGGACATGCAGCTGACTTTGAAGAAAGGTTGCTCTTAACTGTTATGGGATGAAAGTGACATAAAAAAGTTAAAGATACAAATTTTACAAGCATTTCTAGAGCAAACATTAAGAGTTACCAGCTATCCTAAGACAGCAGCAGAAAGGAAGACCAAAACACAGGAGAACCGATTTTGGTTAGACACAAAAGGTGGACAGTGCATCAGAACACAAAGCCCTATGACAGGGGTACCACAGGGGTTGCACCACTGTGTCTGTTTTGAAGCTTCCTTTGCAGACTTCTCAGAGACAACAATTTTGTGCTAAATACGAGGGTGCTGTTGTTACCATCAGACACCTGAGCACAGCTACACACAGACAGTGACCAGCTTCTGCCACCTGAAGCCACAGATGGGACCAAAGCACACCACTATGTCCTGGCCCAGGCTTCTCTGACAAGTCCCAGCTTACCAAAGAGAGCCCAGAAACAGTGAGCAGAAAACAAGCAGGTAATCCCCAGTGAGGGCTGCAAAAGCAATCAGAAGGAAGATGAAGACTTTTAACCCATCCTCAGCTCCCTGTGGTCAGAGGAGAAGGGACAGGTCTCCAGGTTCTCCTTGCTCTTGCCTTCACAGGATCAAAGAATTCTAAGGGTTGGAAGGGATTTCTGGAGATCACCCAGTCCAAGCCCCCTGACCAGGCAGGGTTACCTAGAACAGGCTCCACAAGAATGCATCCAGGTGGGTTTTGGATATTTTCACAGACAGAGACTCCACAGCCTCCCAGGGCAGCCTGTTCCCATGCTCTGCCACCCTCAATGTAAAAAAGTTCCTCCTCATGTTGAGATGAAATTCCTTGTGGTTTAGTTTATGGCCATTGCTCCTTGTCCTGTCACTGGGCACCACTGAAAAGAGTTGGCACTGTTGCCCACAAAATTGGATGCATTACCTGATGTGTGACAAGCAAATAATTACACATCAAGAGAGACATTGATCATTTATTTCAGAGTCATGCAAACCTGGGTGTTCAGTGATATTCCACAAATCAAGCGCACCCACTGGAGCTTTTGTGCCATTGTCTATACAGGGAAATTCAGAGAACTCTCCAGGTGAAGCCCCTCTTTTACAATTGGTTGGTCACGGCCAAACAAGTTTTGTATCTCCAGTTAACTTCTACACATGCTCAGGGGAACGGCCCTCACCTGGGCAGGGTTGTCTTTGACTCTTAGTATAATAACTTATTTGTATCAATGAGACCCCTTTTCAGTCTTGTGTCCAGCTGCTTGTGTAACCTGAACTCCTGTCAGGGAGCCAAGCAGGCCTTTGGAGGGTTTGAAAATTTGAAAAATGCGTATTTTATGACTGGCTTTTTGTAAATATTAAAATGAGTATTATATGTGTTATGTTAGAAAGTTATGCTGCACTAATTTTCTTAAGTAGTGTGTTAAATATAGTTTTAGGTAATAACATGATGTTAAAATAGAAACTAAGATACTTTTTTTAAAGAAAGGACTCACACCAAGATAGCAGCCACAAGACACCTAAATCTTTCAGAGAAAAATAATTTATTGCACCCTTATCAGAAGAAGCGAACTTTTTCCCATCTCGCTCAGGCCTGAAGACGCCGTTAGGATTAAGAAGAAGAAGCTGACACTGACCAGACACAATCCTTTGTTTGAATGGAATTCATGCATCATGTATGAAGTGTATGAATATGCAATAGGCTGTTGTTTTTAAGGGTTAATCCTCTGTTAACGGGTGGGTGTCCTTTTTCGGGCTTATTTTGCCTAGAAACAGGTACCCGGACGTTCGTAACTCTTTGTTTTTATTGTCTCATATTGTCCTAATCCAAATTGTCCAAAGTATTATTACTCTAATTATGTCGCTATTTTTGTAACCATTTTATTATTATTAAACTTTTAAAATTTTAAAAACAAGTGACTGGCGTTTTTCACAGAGGGGGATGAATAAAACGAGGGAGGGGACAGCATAAAGAGAGAGGTTATGGCCGAATATGCTTTGTAAGGTGCAGGGGCGGCGCAGGGAGCACCGCAAACCGAGAGGGGCTCCTGTCCCACGGAGAGGGGACTCTCGGCTGCTGTGTCGCACGCACACACACCGACAGACAGACACACAGACACAGACATACATCCCCACACCCCGCCGGCCCCCGCTACCTCCGCGCCGCCGCGGCTCA